TCAAGTAGTGGCTGCAACCGAGGGTTCGTCTATGGTGCTTGGGTCTATCGAGAGTATGGAATAAGGATGCTGATCGACACGAGCGCGTCAGCAACTATCATTTCAGTCCTGATTTGTGACATTCCGCCCCCCAAGTGTCGGGTTCTCGACCTTGTCGATGCGTCGTGTGTCGCTGCTGACGGCGGCTCATTGGGTATCATCGGTACGCATCGCTGATGTTAGCTTTTCGGAATAAATGTTTGTCTCCACAACCCTGACTGTTTCATGCTTGCTTGGAACTGATTTCCTTGGTAGGATGCCATTGGAAATCTGCATTGACCATGGCTGTTTGTAATTGCCATCTGGACACCGTGTGGCATTTTTGCCTTCCCCTACCCGGTTGTGCGGCTAACGTTACAGGTGTCTGTGCGCCGAACGGGGGAAATCCCGGCCGGCGCACGAACGTCTGTTCCCCTCCGTTTGAGGGAGCCGCTCGATTTGGGTACTGCGGGGTATGGAGCTATAGGTCAAATTTCGGTGTCTGACGACCAGGAACCTTGTGCTCAGGTTCTTTATGCTGGGTTGGACACCACGATCATTCAGGAGGGTTACGGAGTGGGCTCATGCGGCTCCGGCACGTCCAGTAGGGGGCGTTGTTGGAAATGCAGGTACTGAGCCTTGCACGCTACGATCCCGGGATGTAGTTAATTGCTGTGCTGTCCACCCCTCTCGCCTTGAACCGGTTATCGCACCGCGCGAATTCATCCCATCTCCATATCGCTGGCGCCGAGTGTCGAGTGCGTCCGGTGACCCGGGGCAGGTGGCCGCTACGGTTGCTCCCGGGCGAGGAAATTCTGTTCTGGCCGCTGTGCACCTGGCGTCCCCTGACCGGCCGCACATGCCGGTTTCGCGGGCTTCGAGCAGTGGATCCATCGGCCCGGCCTGCTGCTCTTCGTGAGGAGCCGGGTTCAGCAGGACATTAGCACATTCCCTACAGGTCCTCCAGGGTGAGCGAACCCACCTCCCCTGGGGGGGGGGGGGGGGGGGGGGGGGGGGGGTCCGGCATCACGGACTCGCTCTAAGACTCGTTTTCGTGATCCTCTTGCACACATGCTCCCACGCTGTCACTTGCTTGTCACGCTCGCTGAGTCGAGGCGGTCATTGGCTGAATCCCGGCCGCCATTGAATCTCGTGAGTGTTGTTACACGGTGAAGGTGGGGGGTGCGATGGCATGGGGGATCCCGTGGGTTACGCCTTTTTATATATTACTGTTGGAATGGTGTTGTTTTCGCGATTCCCTGTCGGTTGCTTGTCGTGCTCGCCGAGTCGTGGCGGTTATTGGTTGATCCTTGCCATCATTGCGCTTGTGTCCGTCGTTGTACGATGAAGGTGGGAGGTGTGATGGTAATGGGGGATCCCGTGGGTTACGCGGTTCTTTTATATTGTTGTTGAGATGGTGTGGTTATTATTGGTTCGTTGGTTGCCACTCTTCTCCCTGTTTGTTTGTACATTTGTACATAGTGTAATTTTTGTACAGGTGAGTTGGGATATTTATTTCTGTTCTTGTTATTGTTGAGGCACACAGTGTTTTTTTTCCTCGTTGCATTTCACTTATTGTTTGTTTAAAGGGGGAGTTTACAGCCAGGACGGCTGGATGCTACGAAGGGGAGGTGTGATGTAGTGACATCGGGAATGTCACTGTATGGTGCCGGCCTGGAAGGGCCGTGCCGTTTGATGTTCCTACATCGTGGACAGCACCGTGTGGATGGCTGTGTGTAATACCAGCCCTTGCGGGGCTTGAAGAGCACTCGAATAGTGTAGGCACCACGCACAGCTTGTGGTGCGGGTCCACACAAGGGGCCCCAGATGGGGGTGCTAGTGGGTGTCCGGGGAGAGCTCTTGAGAAGAATCGAGAGAGAACAAGAATGCTCGAGAAGGTGGGCGGGGCCGAGGGTGGAGCGGCCCTGACCATAGGGGGATATAAGGCGGGTCCCTTGAGGGACCAGGGGTCGCTGCATGCTACAAGCTGGAAGCTCAACATTTGAAAACGGGAAGCTCTACGTCTCAAGCTGAAGCTCTTCGTCCTACGACTCAGTTGGACTTGTATAAACACTTATTAATTGCCTGCATACATTTTAAAATCAAAAGCTAGTTCAGGACCCTCCTGAAGTCTTATAATGCTGTGGCTCTCCTGGATAAATAAATACAAATTAAAGCAACCGGGTATATATTACAGAGGCCTTCATCCAGCAGTGGATAGAAAATGATGCGTTAAATCATACGTGTCCTCAAATCAAATTTAAATGCATAGGAATACGAAATGGCGAATGTTACTTCTAAAAATATCTCAATGGATCAGAACCAGCAATCGCTCATATAGCTCCCACCTGCTCTCCTCAGAGTTCGGGCTCTTACGCCCAAACGCACGCAACTTAATCGCCTGCATCTGCTTTGCCCACAAATGAGCAAGCGGTTGAGAAAAAAAGCCGTGCCTGGGCGTGGCGACAACCATCCAGCCTCGGCCCTCACAGCATAGCCCCGCCCTCTTCCCCGGTTAGCTCCTCCCCGCGGCAGGGTGGTAGCGACCATCATGTGCAACACGCAATGATGAACCCTGTTGCTCCCAACGGCCGAGCGGTCCGATGCCGACAAGCCGAGTTCATCTCCTGTGAACCTAACAGATCCCAACTGGGTGCACAGGTGTCGATCAGTTGCACAAGCAAGCAGTGCAAACCGTCGATTGCTCGGGCATAGAGTATCGCAGCTCTGCCACTATATTGCTCGGGCATCAGTCACACTCGCCGACTGGCTCCGACTCGAAAGGGTGACCGCGGCATCTCAGTGCCGGCTCGGACGCGCGCTGGGCAAGGCGAGCGGCACGGAGAGAACGCTTCTCTGGGGCTACGGGGCGTGATGAGAGGAGCTGGCTTGCTTCGGTCCCAGCGATCGTCGGCCTCTAGGCCTTGGTGCCACACTCTGTCGGCACCGAGCACCATGTACAGGGACCACTGTGTCTGTATGGTCAGGGGCCGGCAATTCAAATAACAAGAGCCATTTTTTTCGAATTTGGTAAAAAAATCATCTATATTTGAAGAGCCGCAATGCATGTGAATATGGTCACGAGACAGTCCTTAAAGAGCCGCATGCGGTTGCCGATCCCTGGTCATGGGAGTGCATGGCCAGTAGGGTGAGGTACAGATTGAATGTGGAATGTGGTTTCATGACAGAAAATATAATTCTTCTGTGAAAAGCCAAGAGGCTGGCCACCGCTTTAGTCAGGGCTCTTAGTGGGCCGAAGTGGTAAATGCCGATTACCTGAATAAAAAACCCACTCATTAAAATTCTAGTAAATTCCACAAAATAGCATAACGACTTACGGAGTAAAATGCATTAAAATAAGAATTTACTATGAAAAAGACCGTGATTGATAATTACAGACCGAGCACGACTGTTGCGAGTTGTACAGTTTCCCTCGACACAAGGGAGCGACGGCGCCATCGCCCTGGCAGCGCCGCTGCAATGCCACTGTGATGTCACTGTTATGTCACCGTCGCATCACAACACACTGCGCAGATTCTTCCCAGTGGCATTTCAAGTTTGCTTCAGATACTCGCCAGCAGCCGGTGGACAATGGTGACAGGTCAGGAAAACAAGAAACCTGCACGATCACAACAAACATCGTTTCTACTACACCACTTGAATAAACACATTAGTGGGTTAAATTATTTCCTGAAGGCTAGTCGACCAAAAACGTTGAGATAATCCGTTCCTCCCGGTGACAAAAAAATGCTATTTAAATGTAACCTGAAAAACGATCGCCAGACGCTCCACACCGCACATCGCTGCTGCTGCTGCTGCTTGCGCCTTGAGTGGCGCCCACACGAAGCGGCACTCGGCTGCCCGCCGCACGAGAACCGCTCTCCTCCACGTTACAAGCTCCCTGCATAGCCAGTGTTACTCACCCCAGTTACAAGCTCCCACCATTGCAGTGTTACCCACCCCAGTTACAAGTTCCCTTCATAGCCAGTGTTACTCACCCCAGTTACAAGCTCCCTTCATAGTCAGTGTTACTCACCCCAGTTACAAGCTCCCTCCATTGCAGTGTTACCCACCCCAGTTACAAGTTCCCTTCATAGCCAGTGTTACCCACCCCAGTTACAAGCTCTCTTCATAGCCAGTGTTACCTACCCCAATTACCGTATTTTCCCGCATATAACCCACGGGGTATACCACTTTTTACAAACAAAACAAGACCCTGCGGGGTATATGGAGGTGCTATCCCAAAAAATATTTTACACGTGTGACATGTCATAACTCATTTAATATTTTCATGGTAGGACTATCCACTATGCAACACTTACCTTTGACTAAAGCACTGCTGAATACATCACTCACACTAAAATTGCACATGTTATCACGTTTTAAATGATTCGAATTATTTGTACAATGAAACGATGTTTGAAGTGGGTGCACTTTGTTTACCGTAATACTTTCAGTGGCTGTAGGGGGTGCAAAAGTTTCAGCTGAGGCTATGGATTGCACAATGGGAAGGGCCTTAACAAGCGTGTACCAGACGTGGAATCATAATTGCTGAGTCCCGTAGGCCGCTGCTATTGGCTGAGCACTATACAGTCACGACCATGAGCTTTGTTTCAAACTTCCAATGGCTTTGTTGCCAGGAGGCAATGACGTTACCATAGTGTCGCTATTGTCTGGGCAGTGCGCAATCTACCAGTGCTAAAACTGTACAGGGGTAACTACCGGTCCAGTGGCTGTAATATGATGAGGTCGAATGCTGGTAAGCCTAACAGTACGCTTTCTTACTTATCTACCAGTTATGTGTTACTTATTTTTTGGATATTTACTTTAATTACTTATTTACTGTTTTAAGTTGACTCGTTTCCGGTTAGTTTGTTTTCTTTGTGCACGTTATGATTTTAATGTTAACAATTGATAGTGGAATGTATTACAAATGTAAACTTTGTTTAAATATGATGGAATTAAGCTGCGGTAACGACGTTAAAGATATGAATGCATGCGGGGTGTATGGAGGTGCGGGCTATCTGAAATTTGTTTTACACAAAACGCTATTTTTGCGGGGTATATGCGTTTGCGGGTTATATGCGTATGCGGGAAAATACGGTACAAGCTCCCTTCATAGCCAGTGTTACCTACCCCAGTCACGAGCTCCCTGCACATCCAATCAGTGTTACATACACCCAGTCAAGAAATAGTTTTACATCCAGTGCAGTGAATGGCCAGTAGCACATTAGCTACTTTCCAATACATTGAGCAATCATAAACAGATGAGCCACAGCCCGATGTGTAATGAGTTGCTTATTATCCTGAAGGAGTAATGTGTAATCTATTGTCAGTGGAATGCAAATGTTTTTTCATTCATAAACTCTCCCCGATTCGCGTCCTAACGTTTCACTAACAAACACTGAACGCATTGTTAAGGCCCCAAAGAAGCAACAGTGGGAGACTCCCACCACCGCTTCCAGAGCCTCTGTATGTCTGCCTGTGCGGAGCAGATACTAAACAGGAAGCCTTGGAAAGTTGGTATAAAGGAGGTTGTGGGTTCGATCCAGACCCAGACACCTGTATATTTGGAGTTTGTATGCCTCTCTCTACCCGTGGTTGCATGGATTTTTCTCCAGGTCCTCCGGATTTTCCCTCCATATTTGGAAACATGCGTTTAGAGTATTTGATTGCTATCATTTAAACAACTTCGTTGATGATAAGACACTTGATCGAGCTATCATTTATAGGCAGGTCGCTTCTCAAAAAGAGCTGTATAGCTCAGTGGGCCTTAACTGGTAAAATACAAAAAATCGTTACTTTTTTTATTTATTGTGTGGCATTTAAAATAACATTTGATGGCAGGAATGCAGCCATGTGGCAACTGTAAACAGATGAAGACAATGGCGCTGAGCAGATGGGTGGCCCAGTCTTCCGAGCCCTTCACACGCCAATCCCACACATTCCCAGCGACATCTCGGGGCGCTACCAAGGTATAAAACGACTCGACATATTAACACACTGCAGGTGAAACGGCCACTGCAAGTCCTTTACAAACAGGAATAAAAATAACAAAAACGACGTCCTCAGGTGGTCGCCGTGCATCCTGCCAACTCGGCGACGCGGCGCACGGACTTCACCGAGGGGGGCGACGGTCAGGCCCGGCAGCGACAGTGCTTCTGCACCACGACATCATCGCAGCAGCGGCGGCGTCGCAGCAGCGTTGTCATCGCAGCAGTGGCGGCGCAGCTGTTGCGCAGCAGCAGCGGGGGCGTCGTAACAGCAGCAGCGGTGCAGCAACAGTGTCGTCACAGCAGAAGCGGCGCAGCAGCGGCGTCACCACAGCAGTGGCGACGTCGCAGCAGCAGCGACGTCGCAGCAGTAGCGACTCCACCTACGTTCACGTCTTCCCGTCTTCTGCGCCGAGGTTCCGGTTCTGTAACAACGCTGCGTGGCCCTGCAGGCAGCAACAACACAGCTTGCCTGCAGGTCGCTTCAATTTAAGTCATGATTACAAATGACTGCAGGGCCAAGTGGTCAGCAAGCTTGCCTCCGAGTTCAGAGTTCACTGGTCTTCCCTCGTCTGCACATTTGTGCGGATGCCAACGATCCGGCGCCGTTCTCCGTAGCAGTAGACCCTCGTGTACCAGCACCGGGGATAGATTTCACAAATGTAAGCAGACGCTAAGTTGCCGGGACCATTCTCTAAGCAGTATCTCGGAAGGTGCTCGGCCGGCCTGATCAGCATGAATGCGGTCACGGCAGAGCGACGATGCCGCGCCACCTCAGCAGTGGTGCCGCGCGCCGACGCCAAAGCTCAGCAGGGTTCACACGTAGATGCTCTCGGGGTTGAAGCTGGAGAGCAGTGAAGTGTGGAGCACGTGGGGGGCGGGCGGGACGAGCCGGGGCTCGCGGGACACCGAGCCTGGAGAAAAAAAACGGCATGATCGCATGGAATACTGAAAATCGCGCGGCACGGGAGGTCACAAAACGCGCAACGGAGCGAGGCACGAGGAGATGAGGACATGGGAGGAGGATACTGGCACGAGGTCACGAGGCCCGATGAGGATACCTACATGAGGATATATGACACGAGGACAGACCACTCGGATTAAAGATTATCACGGTTGGCTATGTATGGCACGAAAGAAGTTCAACATACATACACCAATGTGGACCACACAAGGGCAGCACGTGGGGATGGAGACTCGTGGCACACACGGACCTGTTGACCACCCAGTGGACTTGTGCACCACCACATTTCGCTTGGACGTGGAGATCAGCCACAAGTGGCCTAAACCTGACGTTGAATGCAGAATCTCACAGTGTCTACGAGCCCCTGAGAGGCACGGTAAAACTGCGCCTGTCACACCACGAGCCTGTAACGCTGAGCGCTTGTTACAAAGCGTACCTCTAATTCTGCACACCTGTGATCACGCGGGGGTGGGGGTTGATGAAACTCACAAAAATGGGATACATACGTGGAACAGCAACCTGCAGGCGAGATGCCCATGGAAGGCAGTACAGGAAGTAGGTTTACATCTATGCAGTGTTTTGAATTCCCCTCCTATATGCTCATCTTTTCTCCGGGAACCTGCAGTTCCCTCCGGCACACAAGAACTTTAACCCAAACATCCGAGGACCCGAGCCCCCACTGTCCCGCTACTCACCGGCATCGACCGCCACCGCCGTCGCGTCATCAGGCGGCTCGGAGAGCACGGTGACACGGCTGCCCGTCTGCGCAATGAACTGCTGCAAGTGCAGCTGGCGCAGCTCGCGGCCCAGGCGCTCCGCCTCGCCCTCCTTATCCTGCCAACGAGACCAGCAGCGGCACAAACGCAGCGCTCTCAACGCAAACAACACCACTGCCACCACCGCCGCACAGGGGAGGTGGCCGGTCACCTTGCAACATCACAGGGCCAGCTGATGCCACCGGGGGTGCCCCCTCACACGCGCTGAGGTGAGACGCGTGGTGGACTTTGAACGACGGCGATGGCGACCGAAGCGCCCCGTCCTCTGCAAGAGTCCGAAGGCCAGCAGGGGGCGCCCTGACAGTGAGGAGTTGCCTCTCTCCATTGCCACGCTCCTCTCAGGATGACTGCGAACGACCCATGCCCCTTCTCCCTGCTGCCGGCACGGCGCCCAAACCAACTTGGCTATGGCCCAGCTACTTGGGGGCACAAATGCAAGTCAGTTCTTGAAGCGATCGCATTGTTCTTAAAGCGTTGTAACCCAGTACCCATGTTTACAGATGTGTACCGCGTTGTGCAATAAAGAAAGAGCAGGTGACATCTGAGCCGGTGACATCATCAGCCCTGGCAACCTGATGATGCCAGGGAACCGCTGACATCATCGCTCTTACCAGCAGCAGGCAGCTGTGTGTGTTCTCTACAGAAAGGCTCTCAGCGTGCCAGACAGTTACACGTGGCTGACCTCGCAGCCGGTCCAGCATCAATTACGTGAAAGGTGTCGTTAGTTATGGGCTACGACCACACTGACAATTAAAAAAGTATGGCACTGGCCGAGAGGCAGATGAGATCCCAGATATCAGTGCTGATGGTGCAGGGGAACATCGCACTCACACGCAGGCTCCGTGCAGCCTCCTCAAGCGAGCAGTGCACCACCACGAGGCTTCCGTCGAGTGAGCGGGCCTCGCGCTCCACCTCCGCCAGGCGCGCCCTCAGGTCCGCGGCGCCGCGCTCGGCCCCTCTCTGCTGCACGGCCGCCACCTCGGCTTCGAGGCGGCGTGCCTCTTCGGTACGGTGCCGTGCGGCCTCGCCGGCGGTCCGCGCACGCTCCCTCGCCTCGCTAAGCCGCTGGGCCAGCTCCGCCTCGCGCTCCGTCTCTCGCCGCCACTCCGCCTCCAGCGCCGCCTCCTCCCGCTCGTTGCGAGCAATCTCCGCCTCCAACTGCGCCGCCTCCTTGGCCACCGCCGCCACGGCGCCGCCGTCCTCTCTCCCATCGTCGTCGTCGTCGTCGTCTTCGTCGTCGGCGCCGACGCTCCGTGCGTCACGCTCCTCCCAGCGCCGCAGCTCCGCGTCCGACGCGTCGATGCGTGTCTCAACATCGCGCAGGCGCTCGTTCTGCAGCCGCACGAGCCGCTTCAGCTCATCGGGCCGCGCCGGTGGCGCGGGCGCCCCAGGGCCGCCCGCCGGCTCCCCGTGGCCTCGCCCGCCGCCTGCCTTCTCCAGCAGCTTGCGGATGCCCGGCGTGAACGTGAGCGACTTGCGCATCACCTCCCGGCGCCGAAGCGAATCCGATTCGGGCTCCGGCGCAACCACGGTGGCCCTGGCACCAGCTTCGGCAGGACGCGGCCTTCCCTGGTGGGGCAGGCTTTGGTGCGGGAAGGCGCGGCCAGGCCCCGGGTCCTGCTCACGGCCGGGTCCCGTGCGGCGCAGTAGCAGCTGCACGTCGGCAGAGTGCTGCCCCCATGCGGCCAACGCCGCTGCCAGGCTCTCGCCCGGGCACAGGTGGCGTTCCGTGTCGCGCCATCGCTCGATGAGTGTGTAACGCCCCGTGCGGCCTGCGACAGCCAGGGGCACAAGCTACGGGTTACAGCTGCGGCTAGAGATGATGACGTCACTCACGGCGGCCATAGTGATGACTGTGACAATGACGACAATCACGATGTTATTAGGTGAAAGAACATTGATGGGGTGGAGGTGCAGTGGTTAGCATGCTGCGCTAGGACTCTGGCAAATCCTGGAAACAGCTTAATTAGTAGCAAGTGATATCTGAACCAGACCTGCCCACTCACTCCTTCGCTAGCCCGCACTGACCAGCATGGTCATTGTATTGTCAAAAAGAACACCACGGTCTTGGAAGGCCTTTATTGGTGATTTGAGAATGGCTGGAACTTATTTTTCTATTTTATAACGGCACTGCACTTTTTAGGTGTGCGAGACAACACTAGGCGGTGCTAAGTCACGAGGCCAGGTGGCCGCTCACACTGCGAGTTCCAACTGTGCACAATGGTTGGACTCGTCCCCCCCTCTTCACTCGGACCGAATCCTCAGGCAGTACACGCACTCGAGATCTCAATGCACACACTCGTGTTGTCTTACCGAGCGCTTGAGCGAGGGCAATGACGACATCGTGGCAGGTGGTCGCGTCTGTGACACCGCACACCACCCGCGGCACCCCCTCCACCCACACCTTCAGCTCCATCGGTGGGCCCTGCCTCCCTCACACGTGACTTGCTCTCTCGCTCTCTCTCCCTGCGCTCACAGGGCCCTCAGTCCGAATGGGCCCCAGCGACCCGCGCTGGCTATGAGAACTTTGCAGAAAACCACCCCTTCGCTCGTCTGATTGTCGACGGCCCAAGGGTGGCGGCAGAGGAGGGGCAGGAGAGTAGGACACAGAGAAAGCTTGTGGGACGAGGGGCCGGGGAGCGGCGCGTCGATCGCTGGTAAGCCCAAGAGTCACCGTCACCGCTCTCCTGGGTCTCGTCTGGAAAGACGTGAGGTGGAGCGACACACACACATACATGCACACACACGCACACACAACGTACACACGCAATGCACAGATCCCGCATTAGAGGCTTCATTCACAAAATTCCATTCCACGCAACGGGGCTTGGGGACAAAGCGGTAGAGAAGATTGGGTCGAGACTATTTACCAGTGTGCCTGTGGATTTACAAATCACCTCTCCATAACCAATCATAGGCAAGGCGGTGTATGCGGTGCGCTGGAGAGAAAGAGATACCATTAATTTCTCAAAATTATTGCGAACTTTGACCACAAACTCCAAACTGGAGACCAAGCCACGAGCGCACTGTGCAACGGTGGAGACAGATGCTCTCTGGGGACTTGTTTAAACCAGGAATCAGTTTCCTTCAGTGCAGAGTGAGGCTGGCCCTGGCCGGGGCCGCGAACAGCCACACACCTGGTTCCATCTGACCTCCGTTCGCCAACTCCTGGAACCAAGTGCCTCCATTCAGACTGGATCATCGCACGCTGCTGCAAACTGCATGCAATCCGAATGTTGCTCACGTGGCCATTGAAAAGTTCTCTCTCTCTCCCTGTTCAGGCTCCCCCTAGAAGACTTTCGCCGATCTCTACTGCACAAGCCATAAACACCCCTCCCCCACCCCCTTGGACACCACACTGGGTCGCAGTGTCCTCTCCATGCTCTATGTTGCTCCTGCCTATCACCGTCAGGGTTCCTTCACTTTGAAAGTTAATTAGTAACTTGGAGTCTGGGGGCTGGGGAGTCGTTCATTTCGAGGCATTTACTCGCTCCGTCTCCATCGTCTACGTGCGGTGCCTCTTTGATCCACGGTAGCACACAGACACTCGCAGATCACGGCTCGTGTATCATTGAGTCAATCGCACGGCAAGACCTGGGTGTTATAATCCACCAAATAATGTCGAAAGCAAACCTGTGATTGAGATTATGCGGGAAATGCCACATTATTAGGTTTTATTTTGCGACAGCCTGTGCCAACTTTGCGCCAAGCAGAGCGGCACCACTGGGCAGTGTTCCATTTTTCCCCCAGTTGGGGACTCCAACTCATGCTCCAGATTCACAGCCGAAAGCTTGGCTGACCGCCTGCTGCTGCTGCTGCTGCCACCGAGCCACTGAGCTCCGGTGACCTCTGCAGACCTCGTGGATGTTGCCAGCAGTGGCGAGGACCGGGCCTCTCCCGGTGCCCTGGGCCTCAGAGACGAGCAGCGATTGTGGGCGACCGCTCTTGCCGCCATAGCAACAGCACAGATGTCCCCGTACGGCGCCTGGTGACCTCTTGGCAGAAAACAAAGCCCAAGCCTGGCAAGGGCCCCCCCCCCCCCCATTGGTCGCTGGAGAGCCGCCGGGTAATTAAAGTCCCGGTGGTAAATGCTCAGTATTACAGAAGAACGTTAGATGTTAACTACCCTCGCCTGCTTTGCAGGGGGTCGTGGGTTCGATCCTGACCCTGGCGCCTGTATATTTGAAGTTTGCATGTCTCTCTTCCCGTGGTCGTGTGGATTTTTCTCCGGGTCTTCCAGTTTTCCCTCCACATTTAGAAACGATCATTTAGAGTGTTTAGTTGTCTTCTTTGGTTCTTTCGGTAAAGTGACGTAGAATGAGAATAAAATAATAAATTGATAAAATAAAATAACAATAATATTCTCACGACGTTTCGGCCACAACACAAGCGGCCTTCATCAGGTGAAGGGACGAGACTGTCTGGTAGGACAGCACTGGAGTGAAAAAAGCCACGTTCAGATCACGACCTTTAAGCTGTGTCAGAAAAAACAAAGCGCCTTGACAAAGGAATTAGCATAGAATTTAGCATTGAAATGGCCGAGTGATTAGCTTGTGACTGGTCACAGAAATGGCTATGTTAAAGTTAAAGCATACACATCCGCAGAGGCACCCCTTGACAAAGGAATTAGCATAGAATTTAGCATTGAAATAGCTAAGTTAAAGCATACACATCCGCAGGGGCACCCCTTGACAAAGGAATTAGCATGGAATTTAGCATTGAAATAGCTGAGTGATTAGCTTGTAACTGGTCACAGAAATAGCTATGTTTAAAGTCAGAGCATACACATTCACCGAGGCACCTAGTACAAATCAAACAGGAGAATTTAGCATTGAAATAACTAGGCGAATTTAGCATTGAAATAACTGAGTGATTAGCTAGTGACTGGTCACAGAAATAGCTATGTTGAAGTCAAGGTCTACACATCTGAGCTATTCACAGTAACTGGGTATACAATACAATGTATAATGAATACTATATAGTGAACCAATAAAAAACTAAAATATAAATTACCTTAATGTTATCAATAAACTCTATATTCTCCAATCAGCTAAGCTACCAACAATAAGTTGTTATATATCACAATGCTATATGGCGAAAAAATGGGTGGATTCTTACCTTCAACTTTAGCAACACGGATAGCTACGGGCCCCGCTCAGACGGACGAGTTCATCCAAGGTCGGAACAGAGGAGGGGGAGAGACACAGCTGCGATGCGCTATTATACTCCATGTTGTAAACCATACCATTAACCGTGGTGTGAGAGGTATTAAGAGTCAATGTTGGTGAAAGAGCTGCGGTCTGAAGGTCATCGTAAAATACAATTAATTAAGAACGGAAATGGTTTAAAACATCTTTCCAATGGTTACTAAGCCAGAATCCATCTTCTCGGTTGAAATTGTCTCTGTGCTTGTATATGTGAATGGCCTCATGAACGAATCTCTCATGGTAGCCGGTTGGTTTGCAAAGAACCTCCATCTTGGAGAAGTCAATGTCATGTGAGGCCACTGAATTATAACAGGGATCTGCCACGGCAGAGGAGTTCGTCCTACCGTGTTTCAAGTCTGCTTTATGTTCACGGATGCGGTCCGAGATATGTCGTTTGGTTTCTCCAATGTAGCTACTACCACAGAGGCACTTTAGTTTGTAAACGCCCGGGTACTGTATGTCTGGAACAGCATCTTTTACAGATGGAACTAGATCACGGATTTTATGTATTGTGTTGAATCGGACCTGGATCTTGTGTTTATTCAAGATTTTGGAGATCTTTTTAGTGACCCCTGCAATGTAGGGTAAGGTGATGGTTTTGAGTGGCTCCACAAGAGAATCCTTCTTCATGACTGGAGTGATGGCTTTGCGGATTGTGTAGTCGGAGTAACCATTAGCCCTGAGAGCCTGGTGTATGTGCTTGAGTTCACTGGTAATGTGTTCCTGGTCGGAAATGCATTGGGCTCTATGATATAGAGTCTTGATGAGGGAGTTCTTCTGGGATGGATGGTGGTGGGAATCCGGTTTCAAGTAAGCATCTGTATGGGTGGCTTTCCTGTAGACAGAGTGACTCATTGAACCATCATGTCTCCTTTTAATTAAGACATCCAAAAAGGGTAGTTTGCCATCTTTTTCGACCTCCATGGTAAATCTGATGGCTGGGTGTATGGAATTGATGTGGTCGCGAAATTGGTCTAGAGCAGGCTGGCCATGTGGCCAGATGACAAAGATGTCATCCACGTACCTCTTCCATAAGGTCAGGCGTAGAGTGGCAGTCTGGATGACGTCAGTTTCAATTTTTTCCATGAATACGTTGGCTACAACCGGAGATAGGGGGGAGCCCATTGGGGTGCCCTCAGTTTGTTTGCAGAAAGTTCCATTCCAGGTGAAGTATGTGTTGGTTAAGCAATGTCTCACCAGGGGGGGTACATCAGTGTGCAGTCCTTGATGAACCAGGTCTTCAATGATAGCGATGGTGTCAGGTACCGGGACTTTGGTGAACAAGGACACCACATCAAAACTGACAAGCACGTCGTCTGGGGACAGGGAAATGCCTTTGATTGTCGATACCAGGTGAGTAGAATTGAGTACCGCAGAGGTGGTTTTTCCAGTGAAAGGTCGCAGTATATCAGCAAGAAAACGTGCCAGTTTATAGGTGGGGGAGTTGATAGTAGAGACGATGGGACGAAGGGGTGTATCTTCTTTGTGTATCTTTGGAAGGCCATATAATCTTGGTTGTCTGGCAGCAGAGGGTTTCAACGAGAACTGTTTGGTCTCATCAATTAATGCTGTTGAATCAGAGATGATTTTGTTCGTTTTGGTAACCAGGCTGTTGGTGGGATCTCTTTTTATTTTTGTATAGCTGCCATCTTGAATTTTGTTGTTATATTCTGTTTTGTCCATGATGACAGTGGCATTGCCCTTGTCGAGAAGATGGATTCTGGCTTAGTAACCATTGGAAAGATGTTTTAAACCATTTCTGTTCTTAATTAATTGTATTTTATGATGACCTTCAGACCGCAGCTCTTTCACCAGCATTGACTCTTAATACCTCTCACACCACGGTTAATGGTATGGTTTACAACATGGAGTGTAATAGCGCCTCGCAGCTGTCTCTCTCCCCCTCCTCTGTTGCGACCTTGGACGAACTCGTCCGTCTGAACGGGGCCCGTAGCTATCCGTGTTGCTAAAGTTGAGGGTAAGAATCCACCCATTTTTTCGCCATATAGCATTGTGATATATAACGACTTATTGTTGGTAGCTTAGCTGATTGGAGAATATAGAGTTTATTGATAACATTAAGGTAATTTATATTTTAGTTTTTTATTGGTTCACTATATAGTATTCATTATACATTGTATTGTATACCCAGTTACTGTGAATAGCTCAGATGTGTAAACCTTGACTTCAACATAGCTATTTCTGTGACCAGTCACTAGCTAATCACTCAGCTATTTCAATGCTAAATTCTATGCTAATTCCTTTGTCAAGGGGTGCCTCTGCGGATGTGTATGCTTTAACTTAGCTATTTCAATGCTAAATTCTATGCTAATTCCTTTGTCAAGGGGTGCCTCTGCGGATGTGTATGCTTTAACTTTAACATAGCCATTTCTGTGACCAGTCACAAGCTAATCACTCGGCCATTTCAATTTTAAATTATATGCTAATTCCTTTGTCAAGGCGCTTTGTTTCTTCTGACACAGCTTAAAGG